CGGCCGGTTTCGTGCCCTCTCCCCCGGGGAAGGCAGCACCAAGCCTCTCTGCTCCGACGGGAAGAGATCCCTGCCGAAATTCCAACGCACAGGCTCACAGCTCTTCCCACTGACTTGCTCTGGCATGAGGGCCGCCCACATCCCAGCCCCACGTTGGCCACGGAGCACGAGTGACAGCGGCGAGGAGGATGGCCGCGGCTGGGCGGCCAACCCACCCTACGGCACTGGAGGGGCATCCAGCAGGAACGCGGGGCTGCGGGCCCTTTCCCCACCACGCTCCTGCCCGGTCTGACACGCAACGTGCGCAGCATGGGTGTTAGAGCTGGGGGCACGTAGAGGTGGGTCCGGGGGGCACGCAAGAAGCGCTGGGGAGAACGAAGGGGTCACCGTGCATCCTGGCAAGAAGGCAGGCTGGCCCAGAGGACACCCAAAGAGTGGGTCAGGATGCATGCCGTGCCCCAGCAGCAGGTCTGAGAAGCACAGAGAGCTTGGGAAGTGCCTGGACACACACACGGGCACCCCAAATTCCTTCCTTCCCTGTGACCACAGATTGTCTTGGGCAAAAATCTGGGTGCAATGAACAGCCGCAGCCCGGAGCACGGCTCCTTTCCACGTGGTATGGGTTCTGCTGGCAGCACCCTGAAGCCTGATCCAACCACTCTACTTTCCCATCCAGTTTCCACTGGCTTCCTTAAAACCACCTGGAATTTTGTCCTTGCTCTGTTAGACAACCCGAGGGCCTGGGGCCAAGGTACCCAGAGGAGGTACCCAAGGGGGGATGCTCAGCAAGGCGGGAGGAAAGGCTGAGGCACGCAGCCAGAGACGGACGCTTCTAGGGCGGGCACAGTCGCCCTCGGCCAGGGCTGAGCCGCAGGCTCCCTCGCAGAGCGGGTATCCGGCCCGGTTTGCCCTCGCGAGACTTCTCCGGTTCCACTGCAGGGTGAGGCTCTTCCTACATCTCCGGTGTCCCTCAGGAGTGCCCGTCGTGCCAAAGCCCGCAGTTGTCACAGGCAACGGCAGCAGCTTCACCCGGGCAGGCTCTGCAGGCCAGAAGCAGCCCAAGTTTGTGCTAAGGACCGTGCCGCTGCGTCTCTGCAGCGCAGGCTGAGGTGGGAGAGCCAGCAGCATCCCAGTACCACTGAAAGCACAGCGGGCTTCGCCCTAGCGCCCAGGACGTACCCACCCAAGCACAGCATCATCGAGGACTGGGACGGCATGGAAAACCTGTGGAGCTACCTCTTCTTCTGTGGCCTGAAAGTCCTCCCAGAGGAACAGCCCGTGCTCGTGGTCCCTTCTCCCTCAGCCTGCTGACAGAGAGCCCCAGCGACCCCTCAGTGCTGAAGGCCTTGAAGAAGACAACAGCGATCCAGCTGAAGAAGCAATGCTGCTGTGTCTCCATGGACTACAAAGGAGACCTCCATGACCAATCCAGCCAGATTTCAGACCCCTGATGGGCACTGGATAACCCTGGGCACTGGATAACCCTGGACAAGGAACAGTTCTGCTGCCTGGGGCCACTCTTCCAACTGAAGCCATCCCACCAAAGCTCCCAGGGATCCACCACCGGGCCTTGCACAAGGTACCCGACCACACCAGGAGGGACACTGTGGGTAACATCACGCTGTCAGGTGGCTCCTCGACATTTCCTGGCTTTCCCGATGTGCTTAGAGTTGAACGCCCTGTTCCACGGCACGGGCTGCCGGATTCAGGTCCTGGCGAGCCCGGAGAGGGGCACAGCAGCCTGGGTGGGGGGCTCGATGGCAGCATCGCTCACATCCTTCCAGCATGCGTGGACGGCAAAGGGCGAGCACCAGGAGCGTGGTGCCGGTAAGCAGATGAGGACCACGCACTCGAAGCGTCCCGCTGGCGGGGCATAGCTCCGGCTTGCAGGAGGAGGGTCTGCTCCGGGCAGAGCTGCGGCGGTGGTGGTGAGAAGGTCCACAGGGCGCCTGCAATGCAGCAGCTCTACCATGGGAGGGGATTTCTGACCTTGGCACTGAAGCGGCTCAGCACTGGATACAGAGGATGAGCGGGTGAAAACCAGAGAACTGAATTTGCTCTTTGTAATTTTGGTATAGATGTCATCTGGTGCTTCAGGGAGCCGATTCAGCTCACTGACTGGGCAGAAAAGCACTAACCTGGCTTTGCTGCTGCTTTAGTGAACTGACTCAGCTTAGCAGACGATTAGAAAAGGATCGGAGGTTGCATGGGGGAAGCAGCTGGGAAGCACTGCCCAGCTGTCATAGCAGACGCCTTTTCCCATGGCCAGCCCTCGTGCCCACCTCCTCAAGGGACACAGAAACTGCAGGACATCACTGTGAGCACTGAGAGAGACAGGACTGGCAGCGGGAGGTCAAGGAAGGAGTCTCCACGTGATGCAGGAGGGCTGGCTGCTCCGCAGGAGCATCCACCTGGAGAGATCAACCCCTTTCTTCGACAAGGCAAGGAGACGGGCTGGACCAGAGTCACCTCTGCCTCCCCCGTGCTGTCCTCATGCACCAAGGCTGTGGCACAGACCAGGAGCCAGGCCGCCTTCACCCCCCGAGCACCATGAACTCCCTCTTCCATGTCCAAAATACAGTCCAGCAACGCTACCACATTACTCAGGTCAAATATTTCCAATTCCTACTGTGTTTCTCTCCAACACACGGAAGAAATGAAGATCTTGAACTCCAGAAGCTCTGCACAAAAGCACGTGGGCGTAACCCTTCTGATGCTGGTGTCAAAAATCTGTTGAGGAGGTGGGGGGCAGCGGGGAGGGTCTTGAGCCCCACGTGGTTTTCTGGTTCCTCTGCGCCACAGCCGAGCCACCAGCCCAGTCCCAGAGCTGTGTCCGCCTGGGGCTCTGGCACAGCTGCAGCTGGCTGGGAAGGGAAGGGAGGCGGAGAGGATGCTCGTGTACTGAGCACTGGGCTCGTGCTGGAGCAGGCGAGGATGGCCACAGTACTCCCCACACCACCCCACCACCCGGGCAAGCAGAGC